ATTATTAGCAATGTTCTTCCGACGTCTGATTTCTTTTTAAAAAATGCGTTTCTAAAGTGCATAAACTTTTGGGATTGACTACATAGCCAATACATCATTAAGGTGTTCTTACGTTTTGTCGTTGGTGTATCGCAGTTCAACGCGTCCGTGAAGTCCAACCAGGATCTGTGGCACCGTGAAGACGAGGCGAACGGTGTGTTCGTCGAGCGCCTCGAGTACTTGTACGGACACCTCATCTGAAGACGAAGACACAGGGAATCCAGGGATGGTCCCAGGCAGCGGGAAGCTTCCAGGAGCATTGTGCTCCATTCCTAAATTTTATAAACAAATTCCTATTGCTTCGTGTTCATCTTCATTTTATAATATCAAGAATGATGATAATTTATTAGTGACTCGAATTGCCGGGACAGGGAATGCTGATTATTTCATCAATTTTGAACCGGCACTCAGTGATCACCGGAAGTGTCGAATGGATAAAACGTGGACAGACTAATAGTTTTCATCTCGCGAGAAAAATTGTTGGTGATCGGGGACGAACCTGACTGGTTGGGCGTTTGTGCTGCTAACGGATGGTTCAAGTGCGTGAGTCCTGAATGCGGTATATGAGCGTCAATATGAATCGGCAGAGTGGCGGACGGGGGGCCACTCGCCACGTTATGAGTGATGGCTGGCTGTCCGGGATAATGTTGGAACGGTCCAGGATTGGGATCGTGTTGCCCGATATGAGCTAACAGCTCCTCGATCTGCTGAGGCGAGCTCGGTATTTCTGCCGTGTGAACGTGATACGTCGTCTGACCGTCTTCGTTCTTTTGCGCGTAAATGTGCGGTTTAACAGGCTTTTTCGAACCGGCGGCGGATCCCGTCGCGAAGTAACCAGGTTGGATCTGATTGTTCGGCGGTTTCTGGCCGGATATCTGCTGATGAATGTCGTACAAGCCTGGATGCCCGTCGGGGGGACCGTGCTCCAATTGTACCAATCCCGGATGCTGCAGATTGATCAAGTGGTACAGTTCTTCAGGAAGGATCTCCTGTTCAGGATTTCGTTGTCCCTGCTTCGGCCGACCGGCCAGTCCGGTTGGAATTTTGCCCTTCTCGGCGTCGAAGTCGCCGGGGGAGGTCTTCTTCTTCGGGTTCACCGGGACGATCACGTTAGGATCGACGTTCTCCGGCCCGCCGAGAATCGGGCCTCTGTAAGGCGGAGGGCTCTCTCGATCGTAACCAGGCGGAACGTTCTGGTTCGCGAATCCTTGTTGAACGAATTGCGGTTGATCGGTCGCGTGGACTTTTTGCGCCGGTGGTAATTTATTGGGGTTCACCGAGCCGAGAACGAATTGATGATTATCGTTGCTCTTGTCCGGGAATTTATCCGGCGCCAATGGTCCAGGGAAATAATCGTCTTTGTGCGTTTTCGTAGGCTCGACCGGTTTTTTAGCGTCTGACTTGGTCTTAGTTTTTTCTTTGACAGGAGGTTTGTCGGTGTGGGAGGGTAAATGAAACACGTCCTCTACTGCGGGGTGTGTAGACTTATAGTCGGGATTGTACGGTCCGTTGTACGGTACGGTCGGGTGTCCGGGGTCCATCGGGTAATGGAAGAGTCCGTGAGTGTCTGTGTGTACGTCTTTCGGATCTTGGGAGGTAGTTCCATGGTCCGGTCGCTGGCCAGCCGGGTCCGACTTGTTATTCGGTCTTTCGGTACCGTCAATCTTTTCCCGATCGAACGAGTCTGCGGCCAAGGGGCCGGGTAACGCGGCCGTCGCGTTCGTTCCTGCAATAAGCAACAAAGTCGATTGTCACAGACGTGGTCGTCGGATCGACCAACGAGCCCTCCACGTTCTCCATGCACATATTTACAACGAGAGGTCCCAGTAGATATGTACAAGCGTATCCGCGTAAACCATGCACCAGCAGCTTCTCTTTCCTGTTCAAATCGTCGCACAAAACGTGTTTATACGGGACAGAGAGTAGTACATATGTATACAGTGTACGGGATTGTGTATTTGTCGAGCAATGAAAAACGTTCCGAGAGATCGGATGCGTTAATGATATGTGCGAAACGTACGAGGGTGTATATGTACAAGTTCACATTATGCGCTGGAGAGTTTCCAGTCAGGTCCGCACGGAAAATAAGCGTCAACCTTCTTCTACCCATTACCAAATCTAAAGGATCTTCGTGGTAGCAGACTCTCTCTCTCTCTCTCTCTCTCTCTCTCTCTCTCTTTCTCTCTCTCTTTTAATATTACCGCCACCGTAAAGAAATCATTGATATCGTGTCAGACTGATATACAAGTAGTAGCAATTTAATAAAATCTAATATTTCCTATTTCATTGATCGAATAAAATGATTTAAAAAAAATAGTATTGAACACCTTGTATACCGTTTATTCAATCTTTCTCGCTTCCTGTGTCACGCGATCGCACTTACCTGGCGACTGGCTAGACGGGTTGCAGCTCCACTCTAAGCAGCATTCGTCACCGGGTAGATGCATCAACGCGGCCTGATAAGCGGGACAAGGTAGAGTAGCAGGCGGCAGCGCAGGTACCGGAGGACAGGCCGCTTGACAGGACACGTTTCCCATCTCGCAGTAGCATCGCTTCTCGCATCCGGTTACGTTCGACGGTAATTCGCTCCAGTTGTCGTATATGTTACCCTCGTAATGGCAGGAGCCATTATTCCTGCAACGCACTTCCTGCGAGAGAGACATCACAAGTGAAGAAATAAATGCATTTATGATAATATTTGAGAAATCTTTTTATTCGCTATGCAAAAATTGAATAAATGAATAAAAAATGAATTCTGTCATTTTTCAGAGAAACAGGGATTGCTGGTTTAATGTATACGACTTAAATACCTGAGGACAGCAGTGAGGGGGTTTCGGGACGAAATTCGGAGGCACCGTCTCCCAGTCCAGGCAATGCGGGTCCAGAACATCCAATCCGAAGTCCGTCGGGCACTCTATCGTAAGGCACTCCGGTTTACCGCCCTCGGTACAAGTACAGAAGGAGATACACTCGTCGTACCACTCTGCTCCAATCTTGTACGTTTTGCCCATATGGCTGCAGGATCCTTTATCTGCTGTCTTATCCGAGATGTTCGTCTTGACTACTTCCGCCGGGAGAAATACTTGGACCGCTGGACCCGTTCGTGTTCCATCCGTTACCCGAACGTAGTACGAGTGTGCCGGCTCCAGATTCGATACGATACCATCTGCGGCCATCGCGTTCGTTTCAGTATTACCGTGCTATCGACTTTAAAGAGGATAGTTTAGTCATTGCTACTCACCCTTATCGGGCTTCTGTTGCCTCCACACGTGATTGTTATCAGATATTTCCACGGTCACCTCCTGCGGGTTTTTCACCGACAATCTCAACTTAATCGCGGTCGAGTTTAGCACTTTTACATCTGTGAGATTCACGGTTAAATCCGGCGAGGTTTCCGGCCTGATCTCATGATCTCCTAAAGTTACGTCGCAGAGAGTGATCGTGCAACAAGAATCCCTGTGACAGAAAACGGGACAAGGTTTAATTACCTAAGGAGTGAATTATAGAATTTGGAAATAATTGTTGTACCGTGGATCAGTGAGAACGACGCAGCGATCGTGCTGATTCGTCATAGAAATGGTATCGTTCGGTGGACATCGTTGTTGACATTTCAGATTGCCATCCGCTTCGCAGATACAGACACTGGAACAGCCATCCTCCACGCGTTGGCCCCTCATCACGGTTTTGTTCCCAAAAACGCAAGTCTCTTCGGGCTCAGGCGCTGAGAATCATTCGAGGCAATAATTTCTACATTATTCTTTACTTTTCAATTAAATACATTTCTCTGTCAAGCTATTAGAAAATTAAGAAAAAATACTAGTTTCTAATTTAACGACTGTGACTCACCTGAATCAGCGGCGCATACGAGTATAGCGCAGCACGGTTCTTCGTTAACGATCTTTTCCTGACACAATGGATCCTGAATTCCCCTGTTGGCTCTAACGTACGGCAACGAGCAAAGAGGTTTGCAATCTGTGACTACTCCACCCTCGCCGCACACACACTTCTCCTCGCAACCCTTCACGATCTTTTCACCCACTGCGTACGTCCGATTTCCTTCCATGCACATGCTTACGGGTAACAATGTCGAGGAAACGTTCATCGAAGTTTCGTTATGGGACGCCACGTATTCGCCGCCTGTTTATTAGAAAATTAAGAAAAAATACTAGTTTCTAATTTAACGACTGTGACTCACCTGAATCAGCGGCGCATACGAGTATAGCGCAGCACGGTTCTTCGTTAACGATCTTTTCCTGACACAATGGATCCTGAATTCCCCTGTTGGCTCTAACGTACGGCAACGAGCAAAGAGGTTTGCAATCTGTGACTACTCCACCCTCGCCGCACACACACTTCTCCTCGCAACCCTTCACGATCTTTTCACCCACTGCGTACGTCCGATTTCCTTCCATGCACATGCTTACGGGTAACAATGTCGAGGAAACGTTCATCGAAGTTTCGTTATGGGACGCCACGTATTCGCCGCCTGTAGAAGTAATCACTTGATTTTAATATAAATTGAGTGATGAAGTAAAAATTACGAGCTCAATATATTTCAATCAAGTCTGATTTCTTCAAACGTATAAGTGCATTGCAATTCGAAAAGTTTCAATACAATGAACAAATACGATGTTATTTTTACTGCAAGTTCAATTTGTTCTTATTTTTGTGTTTTTAACTTATAAACAGAAGCGTAAATGATTGTGTCAATGATATAGTCACCTTCCATTTCTTTATCATCATCATCCATGCTGACGTCACTCAAATCTGTAATATTCGAGTGCAAAGAGTTGGTCGGCTCCGGTGCAGAGATGTTCAGCGCCCTGCCTCTGGACGCTGTCGTCTCCTCCGTCATCTGCGCGCTGCTCTGCGTCGTCGATGAGTTCTCGATTAAGGAAGCCAAGTTCGGTGCCGTGAGATTCATCCCAGGTACTATGGGCTCTCCACGAAACAGGAATGGGATCGTCACACCCACGGTTTCCATCGACTTTGTAGTCGTTTCTTCCATAGACCTCGTTGAACTCGTCGCGGTGGTAGTCTCGCTCTCACGTTTAGAGTCATCCTCCTTCGCATCTTTCTTTGGATACTTTTGTTCGGTTTTGATTTTGAACTCGACCGGCTTCTTCTTCGGCTCGATCGTCGTTTTGGAATCCTGATCTTTTATCGGATACTCCGATTTCCGGTCGATCGTTTCGTTCCTCGCGAGCGGCTGAACTCCGGGAACCTCTTCAATCGCGGAGCCTGGAAACCCGACGAACGTTTCGCATTAAGGAATTTCCGGCAATGCTCGCTCGCTTTATGTCGTAATGGGAAAACGAAGTAGCCGGAAGGAGTTCGCAACCGTAACGGTGCTATCCCCGCGTTCGGACCGTGAACTTGAGGCGATAAAATCGACCTCATTAACGTTCAATTATCGGTTACCAACGAGTAGTAATTGCATTTTAATTGCATCGGGCCACGCTATAGATGTTGCGTACAAAGTGAGTCAATGAGAAGTATTGCATGCAATGATTTGATGCTTTAATGCCTCAACTAATACGAGTTCTATACGCAATCATCGAAGTTGCCTTTTATTTTGATAAATGTACATATTTCTATCAAACTTCTCGATCCGCAGTGTACTTATTACCAGAGATTCTTATTACTGAGACATGTTCGATCCTTAATTCGCATGATGATTATCAAGGGACGCGGTATCGTCCCGAAGGCAAGTTTGAGTCTGAAGATTGCAGCTTGTCGTCGGGTACCGCGTCCCTTATATGCACGTAAATTCGTGTTCGATTTTTTTCTTTTATGTATTAGGATTAAATCTTTGGCAATTTGTCAATGGTTTGAGGTTTTTATGAAGTTTTATATGCTGCTTTTTAATTTAAAACAAGTTTTATTTAAAAATATGTTATTAATACGGAAATAGATTTGAAAATTCACTAGAATTTCAGAAAAAAGCCGATTTCAACATATTTTTTCGTCTCCCCAGATTGTTTTTACCACGAAGGTAGCTGAATAGCTGAAAAAATGAGAGTAACCAATTATTATTAGACTCGATAATCGCAATTTGTATCGAGCATCGTTTATTGTTTTCCATTCTATCTTATCTGTTGCAACGATCTCGTCTATATTACTGTTATTACTTCAATTATTATTATATTCGTGGCGAACGAAGTTGCTGGGACCGCGGTTGCTTAAGAAGGTCCCAAGCATGCTCTGATCGCAGGACAATGCAGCATCTCCAAGGATTGCACTGCAATTTCATCAAAATTCCAAGCGAGCCTCTTCGTTAAACGTAGTCTAATATTTTCAGAGCGAGTATAACGATGCTCGTCACCACAATTTCAGCCGGATCGAGAGCGAAGGGATCGCTGATTTCTACGGATCTTTCGCAACGAAGATCCACAGCCGATAGATACGTACACTCCTGTTCATAACTCTCGTTCTTCACGATCTCCTCTCGGCTCCGGTGACTTATAAAAGCCAGTGTACTTACGTTCTATGACGAGGCAGAAACCAGAAACTTTCCATCCGGGACTGAAAACGTTCGCGGGATGTTCCCGGTTGTTACGTCAAACGAGCTGCCCGATCTATTCGTTCCCATCAGCCGCTTCTTTCGACGATTTAACCGCGGACGAGATCGAGTTCTTTTTGCACGCTAACGATCGGCCGTGCCGCGCAAAATATAGCGTAACAGTATCGCGGGTTTCCGCGAATCGATCAGCTAGCTTCCGACTCTGTCCTATTACATTCGTGTCCTCTTCGTTCGTCTTTCAAGGTTGTGCATTTCAATTTACGTGTTCAATTTGTATACGAATGGACGATGTATCAAAGTAAGAGAGATCATGTATATAGCTTCTATTTATTGATTTTATAATTTCGAGTTTAGTTCTTGTGGAATGGATCCAATATCCTCGGTTCCATCGGGTCATAATTTCCTTTCACCGGGGCTGTTTGAAAATGACGAGTTTCGAGCGGCTGCTCCGGTAATAACTTTTATCGCGGCATGAATGGGGAATCGTAACGGTGCGACCGGTTCACGCGAGGCCACCGCACCTCGTCAGGATCCACCTGACGTTCGACGGTAGGTCCGTGTAACGATTTTAACCCGTAAGTAGGTGACGGTCTCCTTTTCCCGCATGCATATGCATCGACGCTGGCCCGAAAAGGTGTCCGGTCCTCCTTCGCGCCGCGACGATACCATCGTTATAACTGCTTAACAGATCCCTTCCGTCACAGACGAGACGACGAATTCGTGGATGGACAGAAAAATAATTCTTCATTTTCTCCTCAACAGAAATTGTTATTTATTTGGAAAAAGAACGTAGTATTACCGCCTCTTTTATGGTAAAAGGAAAGCGGGCCGTGGAACGCGGAATCGCTAAAAGGAACTTCAGTTGGCTTCCTCATCGCCGGAAGTCGCGCGTCGTCCGTGAACTCAAACTAACAACACGCCTCTCGTTAATTTGTTAAATACATGCGTAGATATACTTGGGCAAACTCAACCGGGTTTCAGTATCGCGTTGGCCGACAAATTTAGAATAGCAAATTGACTGTTATCGGTTCCACTTGGCGATTGACTAATTGAACAATTATCAAACCGTGAATTACGTTCTGCTCTTTGAAAAACGATCATAAATAGAATGAATTTACAAGAAGCATTTATGACATTTGATATAAACGTTTAAACGATACAACAAAATTTCGTTTAACAGTTAACTGTGTCGATCATTTTGTAAAATGCGCCCCAGTGT